GGCTAACTAGTAGCTTCCTTGAGGCAAAACAACCATTCGTCTTACTACAAGCGAGACATAGGCTCCATGGGCTAAATGGATATGTGCACTCTATGTAAAAGTATTTCGTTCTGTGCTCATGTTGCTACAAGAAAGTAGCAATTAGCACGAAAGTATCCTTCTAATCTCGAGCTCAAATGCTCCTGCGTCAATAGTAAAATAAAAAAATAAAAAAGTATCACAAAATACAAAAAATATCTGAATTTTTTTGTGGAAAACTTTAGGAAATATTTGAAGTGCATGCCAATTTTCATCCCGAAAGCACATTGGATCAAATCATGGCAAAAACACAAAATCAGAGCTCCAAAGTGCGTTGGAAAGTAACATTTCAGTGTATTGATTTTGGTTTTTTTACCGCGTCTTTGCAACGATGTGATTTTGTGATGAATTTTTGCAAGCACTCCAAAAATTCTTTGAAGTTTGCCTAAAAAATATTTCAGATTTTTTTTAATTTTGTTTCTATTTTTTTTTTTGAATTTACAGTCCATGGACGAGCATTTGAGCTTGAGCTTAAAAACTCCAAATCCCAATTTGTGTTATCTTTAGCTAGAAAACTGTTGGGGCTATCTCCGTTGAAGTAAACATTAAATAAGGTCTCTTGTGTATTTTTTGTCTTCTTTAGAAAGAAAAATATGGGGGAAAATGTTACTTCAGGAAAACATAGAAACTACATAGACTATTCATTCGTTTGATAGAAAATCATATGGAAAAACATTACCTACATAAAACTGTTAAAGAGTTGCAAAACAATGTTCATGTAATTTTAAAAGGTGTTTACATATTTTACAAAAAAATTGCATAATTTTTTAAATAATAGCCTTCAAAAAATGCTCATAGGGTGTTAGAAATTAAAGAAATGTTCATCATGAATGTATTTTGAAGAATGTTCATCACTTAATTGTTCATCTTGTATCAAAAGATGTACATTGTGTATTTTAAAAAATATGTTGATTAAGTAATTCAAAAAATGTACATTAAGTAATTCAAAATATGTTGATAGTGCAATAAAAAAACTTCATCACGCAATACAAAAATGTTCATTGTCCATTACAAACTATTCATCGTGCGTCTTGAAAACAAATTCATTGTGCATATGTTCGTATGTGTTTCAAAAAATGTTCATCCTGTATTAAAAACATTTATTGTGTATTAAAAAATGTTTGGAATGTATTAAGAAATGTTTGTTATGTTTCAAAAATATTCCTAACAAAGAAAAGGGAAAAAATAAAAAGTCAATGAAAATAACCAAAAATAAATATGAATTCAAATATTTAAATAATGAAAACAAAAGCCATGTTTTTAAAATAATTATTTCATTCTGAATTACGATACAGATGGATAGATTGGATTTTGCTGATAATATTTCATATATAACTTGTTTCATTCTCAGTTCATGTTGAATTTCTATGATTTTTTTTGAAGTTTAGACAATTTTTTGAAATTTATAAATAATTTATTCAATATAGAAAACCAGAAAAGTCATTATGATGTCAGCACTGCATCATCGGGTCAACCTAGTCAAACTGACTTGTTAGTGACACGGTGGTTAAATCACTTAATTTTTGCACTAACTAAGCATTACCCTTTAATGAGAAAGGAAACAATTTAAGAATATACTAATAGCGACTTTTTCCTCATTAATAAATAGGGTGGCTATATCATTCAATTTAGTAAGATGTGCCACAATAGTTTCAGATTTATAACCATAGAAAGGATGAGATTCAACCAGTAATTAACTCAGGATCGACAGAGAATTCATAATCCTTGTGAGTAACACAGATAGGTGAAGTAGCAAAAGCAGGATCATATTTCATTTTAGCATTCAAAGACTTTTCTTTCAGCTTAACTAACAGTTTCTTAAGACCATATCTACGATTGCAAGCAAATAAGTCTCCAGCAGTTTCTTCATCCATAACATAACCCTCAGGTACAACAGGCAATTCATATCTAGGGGGAGAATCCTCATCATCAGATTCATTAATTTCATCAATTTCAGTAATTTCATTCTCACTAACCCCAATAAGTTGTTCATCAAGAAATTCACCTAGTGGCACATTATTATCAAGCAGGGAAGTAGTATCATCATAAGCATCATGCATAGCAGAAGTGGCATCATCAATAACACGCGACATATCAGAATCAATAGCAGGTGTAGGTGTCACAAGTTTACTCAAAACAGAAGGTGAATCAAGTGTAGAGCTAGATGGCAGTTCCTTACCTCCCCTCGTAGTTGAGGGATAGATCTTGGTTTTGTTGTCTTTCAGATTCCTTATAGTGATCAACAGATATAAATCCCAAGTGACTCAGAGAATAGAGCTATGCTCCCCGGCAAAGGCGCCAGAAAAAGGTCTTGATAACCAACAAGTTAGGGGATCGCAATAGTTTTCGAGGGTAGAGTATTCAACCAAAATTTATTGATTTGACACAAGGGGGACCAAAGAATATTCTCAAGTATTAGCAGCTGAGTTGTCAATTCAACCACACCTGAAAGACTTAATATCTGCAACAAAGTATTTAGTAGCAAAGTAGTATGGAAGTAACAGTAACAATAGCAAAAGTAATCGTAGCAGTTTTGTAGCAATCATAACAGTAACAACAGAGAAGTAATTTAGCAAAGATCAATATGAAGCGAGCTCGTAGGCAAAGGATCAATGATGGATAATTATGTCGGATAGCATTCATCATGCAACAGTTATAATATAGGATGACACAGAACTAGCTCCAGTTCAGCAATATAATGTAGGCATGTATTTCAAATATAGTCATACGTGCTTATGGAAAAGAACTTACATGACATCTTTTGTCCTACCCTCCCGTGGCAGCGGGGTCCTAGTGGAAACTAAGGGATATTAAGGCCTCCTTTTAATAGAGTACCGGACCAAAGCATTAGCACTTAGTGAATACATGAACTCCTCAAACTACGGTCATCACCGGGAAGTGTCACGACTATTGTCACTCCGGGGTTGCCGGATCATAACATGTAGTAGGTGACTATAACTTGCAAGATAGGATCAAGAACACTCATATATTCATGAAAACATAACAGGTTCATATATGAAATCATGGTACTCGGGCCCTAGTGACAAGCATTAAGCATGGCAAGGTCATAGAAACATCAATCGTAGAACATAATGGATACTAGGGATCAAACCCTAACAAAACTAACTCGATTACATGGTA